CTCTTTTAGACGGTTCTCTCCCTCCTCTGCTTCAGTGCAGTATACATTATTGAACCCATCTTACTCAGTGTCTCCCCAACCCCAAGGACAGTCCCATTCTACAACAGTGGCATCATGTAATATTTGTCCTTTTGTGACTGGGATATTTCACTCAGGCATCAAAGAGCTAGACAATGACTTAAGGGTGATAGAAGAAGAATTGTTGCCTTTGAATTGTAGTGCTGAAGAAAAGTACAGAATATGCCATGGACTGCAAAGAAAATAAACAAATTCATCCTGGAGAAGGTGAAACCAGGCTGCTCCTTGGAGGCAAGGATTTTGAAGCTCTGTCTAACATACTATGGACATATTCTAGGAGGGACCAGTCCTTGGAGAGAGACATCATACTTGGAAGAGTGGAGGGACAAGTGTAAGAGCAGAAGACCCTGGATTAGATGAATTGACTCAGTGACTGGAGTGATGGGTGTCAGAGACAATGAAGTTGGCTCAAGATAGAGCAGGGTTCAGGGCCATTTTACAGAGGATAGTTATGAATCACAAGTGACTCAACAGCACATAACAACATCTCATATTATTTGAGCATGTTGCTAGGAGAGGCTAGTCCTTGGAAGGGGACATCATGCTTAGAAAGGTGGAGGGATGGCGAAGGAGATGAAGATCCTCAACAAGGTGGATTGATACAGTGAGTACAGCAATGAGTGCAAGTGTGGCAGAGATTGTGAAGATGGCACAGGATAAGACAGGGTTCAGATATGTTGTTCATAGGGTTGCTATGAGTCATACTCCACCTATCAATAATAATCTTTCCCTGTATCAGTTGAAAGCAGGAGTGGCATCCTCTTTCTAAACCACATGCCTCTGGAAACTCTATGAACCTGGAGAAAGGAAGGGTCACTATGAGTTGTGCTCCACTGGATGGCAATCAACAACAACAATAATGTATCAATTTACATACCAATTAATCTGGATGAAGTCTTCCCATGGTAACTTTTTATTAAATTTGAGGACAAATTTAAAAATTTTAGCTCATAATTATTTTACTTCTATTAGTTTTGGTTGTGTATCTTAGAAGGATTTTTTGTTTTATTTATGTCTTAATTTTCTTCCCTTTTGGATTTACTGAAAAATTTAACCTAGTTTTTTAAATTGTTACCCTTAGGATCCCACCAGTCTTGATGCTGAACATTTCAAAGAGAGTGAAAAAGTCAATGATATAATTATACAAAAGCTGAAGTACTTCTATCTTAAAAAGAAGGAATTAGATAAACAGGTATTGTATTTATTCTTCATCCTAAAAATAATTAAGTAAAATTTTTACTTATTTACTCATTTTTACTGGTTTACTTACAAAGTTCATATACATTGTTTTTCACATCAGATCTTTCCCTTTTCCTTTACCCACCCTTTCCTCAACCCATCAAATTGTGAGACCCTATGATTAACCACTACCACCTTCATGCACCCTGAAAAAAAAAATGATGAAAACTTAAAAATCAAACCTCCAGAGAGAAAGATAACAGAGTTGTGTGAAGAAACGCTGAAAAATTACATTTTTAAAAGAATTGTTTTGAAGACCAGGTTTACCTTGGTTAAAAATTATATAGTTTCATAGCTGACTTGTAGGTCTAATTAATCAAGAAATAATCTCATCTATTTTTCATCATAAAGTCATCTATTTTTAAAATGATGTAACTACTTTGCTCTTGTTTTCATGGCACTATTGATTCCAGGAAGTATTAAAAGAAGATGGAAGGAATATACTGAGTCACTGTATCGAAAGGAATCGGAAGACACAGAAGAATTTCATGAAACAACATATGAGCAAGAGCCTATGGTGATGAAAGAAGTAGTTCAGGCTGCTTTGAAGGAAATGGCAAAAAATAAGGCTCCAGGAATAGAT